CTCTGATTATTTGCCCAGTGAGGAAGTTCGTTTCTTCTGCCAACCTGGCTGATAAACACATGTGGGGTTAATTGAAGGGCAGAGGGATAAATGGCTCTGTGAGCCTCGTCATTCTAGTTCTCGGGTCTCTTACTTTGTGGTGGTTGCACCAGGGTGCAGCTGCCTTAGCAGTTCCCTGCTTCAGCTTGCAAGGATGACTTCCTGAAAGACATCCCTGAGGAGAAGTCGCATGAACCTACCCCGATGCAGCCCTGGGTGCTGGAGCACCCGTATGGAGACCCCTGCCAGCGCTGAGATGCTTACACATTCACTGACGTGGCTTTCCTCCTGCAGTCGGCATCATTGCCTCTATTTTGTGAGATGGAGGAGGACTTTGTGGATTGGTGTTGGACATATTAGTTAATAGGTTACTGTTGGACTTGGGCAGCACTGGGCTGGGATGTTTTCTTGATGCACACTTAATCTTTATATAAAACTTTCTCTTATAATGAGTTTCTGTGGATTTGTTTCTCTAAAGTACCCAGACTAACACATTATGGTACCTTGGGAGTGGAGCACTAGAGAAACAAATAATAAGATGGGGAGTAGATGTTTGTTTGACATCTCCCTCATAGTAGTTTTTCTTGTCTAGCCAGAGGTCAGATAAAGCCACACTATTTACTCAGTTGTTTTCTGGGGAATATGGGAAGTGTGAAAATGGAAAGTTTGTAAGTCCACTGCTTTGAGCCATTAAAATTTGATCTTTAGATGGGTTTAGGCCACATCTACAAGGAAAGATATGCCCCACCCAGTGCTTTGGAGTACTCAGGAACCAGTAGTCTTTGTCAGAGCTGGAAAAAATCTGGAACCATGAAGAAAACTCCTCTCTGGGACTGAATGTTAAAGGGAGCCTGAGAGCAGGCTAAAATGCTTGTTGGTGACCACTTGGATCTACTTGTTGAGTGGAAGTGGGAGAAATGCAACAATAAAGACATGGGTTGGTTTGGCGACTGACACCTGTGGACTTGGTTTACAAGAAAACGAGACGAAGATGAGAGCGGGTTGACTGGTCTAAGGTTCATAACCTAGCACGAGAGGGCTAGGTTTGTGGAGCCCATGATCTAAAGGTAAGGCAACCAATCGGCACCCTGCGGAAGCTGAGTGAGGCAGCCCACAATGAGTTGACCAGAACCCCACCAGCTGGACATTTTTGAGCCTGTGAACTGGTCCATATTGTTGCTGACTTTATGGATGGCCTGTCTGGATTTGACTTTGCTTATAGATGCAGAGTTCACAAGGTTCCAACTGGAATGAAGACTCTTCATGTCGAAAAATATGATTGTCTTCTCAGAGAACTGGGTTGATGTAAGTGGGCAGTATATAAATTGGATACTCAAAATTGGGGGGGATAAAGGCATGAAGTGGTTGGCTTACAAACTTTCATAGGTGGGGGAACATACTCACAGGATTATAGGATTAAGGTGTAGGTGTTATTTAATTTCAATCGTGAAGCTAAAGAATATGTACAGGTGCCAGGTTGTCAAGGGGTGGATTGAGGTAGTTAGTTTATTCTGCCAACTTGTCTGATAAACATATATGGGGTTAACTGAAGGGCAGAGGGATAAATGGTTCGGTGAGCCTCGCCAATCTAGTTCTCGGGTCTCTTGCTTTGTGATGGTCACACCAGGGCAGCTGCCTTAGCAGTTCCATGCTTCAGCTTGCAAGGATGACTTCCTACAAGACAACCCCAAGGAGAAGCCATGTGGACCTACCCCGATGCAGCCCTGGGTGCTGGAGTACCCATGTGGAGACCCCTGCCAGCGCTGATATGTTTACACATTCACTGACGCAGCTTTCCTCCTGCAGTCGGCATCATTGCCTCTTTTGTGAAATGGAGGAGGACTTTGTGGATTGGTGTTGGACATATGGGTTAATGGGCTTGGGCAGCACTGGGTTGGGATGTTTTCTTGATGCACACTTAATCTTTATATAAAACTCTCTCTTATAAGGAGTTTCTGTGGATTTGTTTCTCTAAAGCAGCCAGACTAACACACGCAGTATAAAGATTAAATGTGTATGGTGAAAGGATACAGCCTTGATGTGCACCTTTCATGATTTTAAACCACACAATATCACCTTGTTCTGTTCACCACTTGGTCTGTGTGCAGGTTCACATGAGCACAGTAAGGGTTCTGGGTTTCTAATTCCTTACAATATTATTTATAATTGGTCATTATGATTTACTGAATGCCTATGCATATTCAATAAAACACAGCTAGACATCTGTGCTAGTCTGGGTTGACTAGAGAAATAAATTCATAGACACTCATATGTGTATAAGAAAGAGCTTTATATAAAGAGTAATTGTATATTAAGAAAACATCCCAGCCCAGTCCAGATCAAATCCATAGGTCCAATATTAGCCCATATATTTGATATCAGTCTATACATTCCTCTTCAGACTCATGCAACATATGCAATGGCATCGAATGCAGGAAAATCACAGGACAGTGGGTGGAAAGTCTTATGGATCCAGTGGTGGTGGAAGCATCTCAGCACAGGCATGTGTCTCCACGTGGTTCCTCTAGCTCCAGGGCTATGATTCTATCAGTGTAGTTGCATGTAGCATTTTCACAGGAAGATGAAGCAGAGAGAGTATGTGTCCAGCCTCCAGGGAGGAAGATAGGAGTTTCCAGAATCCTCAGAAGGCGGCCATGCCCACACAGAGGCCTCATTGGCTATGACCTGATTGACAGGCTAGACTCCACCCCTTTGCTCAATTTTCTGGCTGTTCTCTGTTGATGAACTGACAGTTCCCTTGCAACTGTTTTTGAATGATATTCAGCAAAATTTTATTTGTAAGTGATATTAAGGATACTGTTCTAAAATTTCCACATTCTCTTGGGCTGAATTAATCCACTGTTGGTAGTTCCCTTACAGCTCCTGGGATTGACAGGCAATGCAATAGGAGATCCTGGAACTAGACACAAAATCTAGCTCCTGCTCAAGTCAAAGACCAAAGAGAATGAACTCTCCGTGGTCTCTCTCATAAAAGGTTTATGACACCAAGGAGGTGCCATCAGCCTCTGATCCCATTAATAGGTTGGGCTCTGCCCCTACCCTTACCTAAGACTATCTAGTTGACATATCTCTAATCACCACAGGGCATAAATATAGATCTCTCAGGGTTGGATTCGGTGGCCAGATAGCCACCTTCCAAATTTCTTGGCATAGACAAAGGAACAATTCCAGCATTGTTTGTTGAAAATTATCCATTGGTTGAGACATCTCCCACTCATCTGTCAGTTTGTCTACTGTAGTGGTTTGCATATTGTGATGCTGGAAGCTATGTCACTGGTATTTCAAATACCAGCAGGCTCACTCATGGACTTCCAGACTAGACAAAGCAGAACATTATGTTTCCATTATTTATTAATACCTAACCATTGTACTCTGTGTTAGCTTATTACAGAACATTTAAACTTTAAAAGCACTCAATGCTTGAAGTTCTTGTGTGACATTTAGCTCTCATCTACCTACTTTATGAGTCGGCATACATTCCTGGCTATAAACTTGTAGTTTAATATAACTACTTTGTATTTATTGGCCAAACAAGAGGAAGAGGCTAGATTATCTCAAAAGGATCCGGCAGCTCTGACAATCTGCCTTTAATGCCTGTGGCACTGAGTTTGTGTGAAGGGCGAGGAACCTACATCTGTTAAAACGTGTTAAATATGCTGACTAGGTTATCGATAAGATTCCTTTTTAAAAATCATTTTATTAGGGGCTCATACGACTCTTATCACAATCTATACATACATCAATTGTGTAAAGCACATTTGTACTTTCATTGCCCTCATCATTCTGAAAACATTTGCTCTTCACTTAAGCCCCTGGTTTCAGCTCATTGCCCCCCCTTCCTCCCCACTTCCCCTCCCTCACTAACCCTTGATAATATATAATTATTATTTTGTCATATCTTGTCCTGTCCGACGTCTCCCTTCACCCACTTTTCTGTTGTCCGTCCCCCAGGGAGGAGGTCACATGCAGATCCTTGTAATCGATTCCCTCTTTCCAACCCACTCTCCCTCTACCCTCCCAGTATCGCCATTCTTACCACTGGTCCTGAAGGGAACATCCGCCCTGGATTCCCTGTGTTTCCAGTTCCTAATAGATAAGATTCTTTAGTTGTCATAAGGGTTTGTTTGTATGCTTGCTAAAGATATTTTCGTCTCAAGATTCTTCTTCTAGAGATTATAACAATATTTTGTTGCTTTTTAAAAATTATAAAGTGAGTGCTCATAACGAAAAACTTCCAACAGCACAGAAGGGGTAGAAGTGAACTAAGTATATGCATAGATGTTTTTGGCCACAATTGGGCTCATAGCATAATAAAAGTAGCAATTCTTGTTTAGAGACAAGCTTTAAAAATTGTCTTAGAAACGTGAGTGAAAAGATTGTCTGCATTTTCAAACGCCCAAGGTTTGGCAGGCTGAGGGCAGTGGGTGTTCTGTGGATCAAGGACACTCCCTTCCTCTCTACACCCGGTTGACGAGATCCGTTGGCAAAAGACAACGGATGGCTACTCCCCGGGAACGCTCATCCCCGAAACCGCTCTCCACGCGCGCACAGCCCGGAGGGCCGGCAGCCGCGGGCGCCAGGTGCCGGGCGTCTGGAGGAGCGAAGTGCCCAGGGGAGCGCTCCTCGGGCGCGGCGCGCGCGGGGGCGCACGGGCTGGTCACGTGGCTGCTCTGGAATGCCGAGGACTCCGGGGCGGAGCCGGCTCCCCTCGCGGACTCGGCCCGCCCCCGGGCTGGCCCGGCTCAGACTGCCGCCGGGAAACGGGCAGGTGGAGCGACCAATGAGCTCTCGAGACGGGCCTCGCCCCACCAATCACGGCGACCTGAGCGGAACAAGGTTGCCCTCTCTCCCGGGCTGATCCGCGGCTGTATCCCAAAGCTAGCGGGCGCTGACTGCGGGTGTGGCGGCCGCGGCGTCCCGGGGGAGCCGGAGCGGACCCGGTCGTCCCGGCCGGAGCGGGCATCCTCCGAGGCCCCGACGTTCTGATGGTGAGTGCCCGGACCTCGGAGAGGCGCTCCGGGCGCCGGGGTGCCGCGGGGAAACTCCGTGACGTGTCGGTCTGACTTTGGGCGGACTGTGATTGGAGAGGATGGGGATCTTTTTAAAGGAAGCATCCAAAATGCCTTATTTCGTGGAGACGGAAGATTTCGTGTCCCCTCTTAAGTTTTTGCACTTCTGTTCGACTCCGCTTTTATACCTAACGACAGTCTAACCAGTACTTGAATCCCAGGCTGCCCCTGAGTTTTTTGCCGGACTGTGAAATAACATTTTTTTGAGAAATGTGCTATCCTCCTGTGTACAAACAATGCAAATAACGTGAAACTAAAAGGCACCGTTAACCGTCTTCCTTTGTTCTTGTCAGCTCCCGTCAGGAAAATATGTCATGAGCACACCCTTCAGTCTTGGGGCGTCGCTTTAAATCTTAAGTGGTGCTTGGACTGCGTTGTTTACACCTGTAACTCAATCAAGTGGGAGGAAGAATAATGCCTTGAGGTTTTTATGTGGGGCACAGTAATTTATATTTTCTTATAAAGACAAAATTACTTAGCCTACTTTGGGATGAAGATAGTTACTATTTAAAAACATAACTAGCATGTCTTTCCCATTATACGCCATAGTCCAGCGTTGCACATGGGACTAAACGACATCTGTGAGTTGATTGGTTCGCAGGTGCCTTCTGGATCCCCATTGGCACCATCATTTCCCCGTCTCTGAACCTTTAAGTTTGAGTGTGAATTTCTGCATAAAAATTGGATGTCAGTATTTGTTGCGAAAGCAACAGATGTATTTGGTATGGTCTCAAATCCAATTACTAACTTTCGCTAGAGATCAAAATTATTACTTGAAACATAGAATTTTATTTGGTTGAGCCACAAAGTATGAATTAAATAGCTGTCGAGATTCTAGATTAGGTGCAAAGGTTACTTATTTTTTCTGCAGTTAGAAAGCTGCAAGACCAATGTTCTCATTGTCCATGTATTACTTTAAAAAGTATATTTTGAAGGAAATAACTTTTATTAGAAAAGATGGCCATTGAGATTCACTCTGTATATTCTGAAAAATATAATTTGCTACTGTAGCTGTACTGGCATTTGTTTATTAGCTATAGGACATGATTTAGTGATCAATAGCTGCAGTTACAGACATAGTAAATTTTTATAATCCGGTATAGATTTCTTGTCAATAAGAAAAGTAATTCATATGAAAAGGTGCTAGTTTATAATTCATTAGTCTTTTTTTCTAGGCCAGTTCTTATCCAAAGAGTTGTAGAAAACTAGGAATGAGATAAAATTCAAATAGATTTTTTTTATCTTAAAAGTTAATGTTTGCCTTCCCAGTTTAACTAAATTAGATATCTTGATGTTTTGATGTGCCACATTTTCTTTGAGATTTGTGTATATGTGTGTTGAAGCCAGAAGAACACTCTGGGAATATCCTAGGTACATGCTGGTGGTGTGGAGCCCCAGGGTAGGTCTGAAACTGTTTATGCGAGTGAAGTCATCCTTCTAATGGACATCCAGTTGTTGGAAGCCAATATGTGTGAACATGCTTTTTAAACTAAAAAATGTTCTCCATAAACTAGAGCAAATTAAAAACACGGTAATTGTGGTTATATCATTTGGTAAATAATAATTTAAAACTTCTCATGTAAAATAAGAATATTACAATGAATAAGAGAAGGAACACAATGAAAAATTTAGATCTCAAGATAGTCAAAGCTGATCTATTTAATTCATATGTCGCTTATACTTTGCATGGGCAAAAAGGTAAGTAGAGTGTAATACGACAGAAGGGAATGATACATATCAAACATCTATTAGGTAGAATTACAGGTCTTGCAATCATCCAAGTTTTTAGAACTCTAATATTAGAACTTTTGGGAATAATGAAAGGGAAAATTTTTGAGAGATTAGCAATAGAAAATTGTGTTCCAGGTTTAGACAAACTTGATAAGAATCTGAGAGGAATGTCAAAGAGCAGCTTGGACCCTTCATGAAATTCTTGTGGGGGATATGACGCATGGGCAAGCAAGGGTGGGTGCTAAGGGAAGTGTGGGGTCTCCAGTCTGATGGGGGCAGCGAGTGGGACCCTGCTAAGCTGAGGTATCTTTGCCGCAACCCTGAAACCTGCCAGCCTGGAGAAAGGCAGTACAATATTCACACAGGAGAGTGGGAAATGGCCTAATCATCTTGGACCATCCCTAAGACTCCTGTCTCCTCTCTTCCCCAAGTCCAGGAGGCCTGGTAGTGCAGTCATTAACTCGCTCAGCAGCCCAGCAAAGCGAGCTCATTCTAACCCACCAGCAGAAAAATGTGGCAGTCTGTTTCCGTAAAGATTTCAGCCTTGGAAACCCCAAGGGCCAGTTTTATTAGGTTCAATATGATCGCTATGAGTTGGTTTAGGATTTTCTTTCCCCACTCTAATTCAGTCTTTTAAAAACTTCCAAGCCTAGGACTTATTTTTTCTTTATTATTGTGTATGGATTTTAACAATTTTGATTGTAAAATTGAGAAATCATTAGTTCTAGTATTGTCTTTCCTTCCATCATTACTTTTCCTCTTAATATAATTAAAGCAGCACATCTACTCGTAGAAGATGCTGTCTATATATAGTTTAATTTCTTTATTACGCAATTTAAAAATATGTTTTTTTCAAATTAAGCTTACTGTTCTTTTCTTTTATACGTGGCCCTATTACGATAGAAATTATTTTAAAGCAAAATGTCAAGAGTCGTAGTGTGGTGGCTTGTGTGAGAGGGGAAAGTGGAGAGTTTACTCATTGCTATTGAGTTGATTCTGACACAGTTCCAATAGGACAAGTGGAACTGCCCCTGTGAATTTCGGAGACTGTAGTTCTTTATGGGAGTTGAAACCAACCCAAACCCCCTGCCCTCGAGTAGATGCCAACCCTATAGGACAGGGTCAAACTCTCCCTGTGCGTTGACAAGACTGGAACTCTTTATGGAAGTAGAAAGGCCTGCCTTTCTCCTGCTGAGATGGTCTTTGTCCTGTGGAGTTGCTGGAGGTTTAGAAACACTGCCCTTGAGATTAGCAGCCCAATCATAACCACTACGCCAGGTATTTTAGTGTGCATTTCATGCACATTGAGAAATTAGCTCAGCTAAGAGCATCTTCCAGGGGGCCCGCCCTGGTGTGTGTTGCGTTACGGGTTGGGCTTGCTAAAAGCAAGGTCAGCAGTTCCTTCAAAACCACCAGCTGCTCTGTGGAAGATGAGGCTTAAAGGTGCAGGTTAACCCGATCTCTTCATTCTAAGTCCCCAAACCTTTCTTGAGACTTTTGAAGCTAGAAATTTTGTGAAGAAAACAAAAAGAATGGCTAGGATTGCCTGAACACACTGTAAATTCCAGTAACCATACATAGCAAAGAGACTTTTCAAAAGCGTGCTGTGCAGTTCTCCAGAGGCCTGCCCGGTGCTTTGTGTTTTGAGGTAGTGCTCTGTGTTGTCATCAGGACCTTGATTGCAAGGAGGCCGAGTGGACGTGTTTTTCTAGCTTTGGGGAAACAGAGTTTTTGCAGTCTGGTTTTATTTAGTTAATAGAAGACAATGTGGACATCCACTTTGAAATGTAAATGCCCAAAGATAAACTTTGAAATTAAATATATATATGGTACCTGAACTTCCGTCATCTGTCCTTGGTGTGGACATTAAGTGTGACTATAAAAGATGGAGGATCATTGTGAGTTGGAATCCACTGGATAGCAGTGAGTTTGGGTTTTATAAAAGTCAAGGAATTAAATTTTGACCAACGTTTTCTTTTTAGATGTTTTGCTTTATTATTACTTTGGTTTTCTGAAAGGAAAAATAGACTAATTTCATTTCTGATTTTCATTAATGAATATGAGGGAAATGAATGAAAGAGCAAAGTACATATGATATTAATTGAGTACAGCTAAAACTACCCACTGCTATCGAGTTGAACCAATCTTATAACCACCCTCCTGAGCAGAGCAGAACTGCTCCCTGTGGTTGCTGAGGCTGTACATCTTTGCTTGAGCAGACAGCCTCACTTTCCCCGCTGAGGGGCAGCTGGTGAGTTTGAACCACCAACCTAATGCTTAGCTTACTGTGCCACCAGCTAAAGCTGTATTAAATACCCATCTAAGCAGAAGCTTCAAAATCAGAAATTTTTCCTTAGTTCTCTAGAAAGGGTATTGCCAAGGATTTTTAGCTTAGCTGCTTCCTTGGCAGGCAAACATAGTGACTCTGTAATAGTATTGTGCTTAAGCTCTTCCTGCTAACCCAGAGGTCTGTGGTTTGAGTCCACCACGGAAGATGACAGATTCTGCTTCCGTAAAGATCGACAGCATTGGAAACCCTACAGGTCAGCACCACTCAGTCTTATAGAGTCTGAGTCTAAAATTGACTAGATGGCCACGGGGTTTGCCTACCTTGGCTGGTCTGTGTAATAGGGGATGTTTCCCTTTTCTGAACGGTAACTTGGAAGCCCTGGAAAAAGAAAGCACTGAGTACAGAGCGCTGTTGGTCTACCTGTGGGGCCACAGTAGCTTCAACTCCAGAAGCTCCAGGTGATCTCATTTCAGAGTCTCATAGTATGGTTTTGTGTGAGAAGCACTGACCTATGATGGAAAGAATTTGATGTTTCTTTTTGTATGCGCTTGTCTGTACTGGGCTGTGTCAGTCAGATAAAACAACTGAGCTGTTGCTGAGGCCACCCGAGGGGCTGTAGCTCTGTGTGGGCTAGCCAGCTTGCTGTCCAAGGGCACAGGCTGAACTCCTAGCTTTGGTCTGCTCCCTTGCAAAAGTGATAAGAGAGCTGATTCACATTTTATTCTCAAGGACTTGATTCAGCAGATCTGTGGGAAGCAGCTCATGACTATGGTGCATTGATTCACGTCCAGCATGTTGCCAGCCCCATCAGCAAGGCTGTGGCTGAATGTCACTTGTGTGGGTAATCTGTGAGTTCAGCCAGAAGAACCACTTTTTATAAAGCGACCGTTGGAGAGAG